TCGGGTAGTTGTGACATTCTGGCGCTGTGTAATTAAACTCGTTTTTTCAGTGTTATCTTTTGCCAGTATCTAATTAGCAAAGCCATCTGCTGAAAAAGTGAGGGTCCATCTGCCTGGCATGTTGGTCTCTTCATTTTTATGGAAAATGCCTGACTTTGCTGGTCCCTGCCTAACTTCTCTGGCTGTGGAATGTGATAATACACAGCTTTGTTTATACACTTTGGAGAAGTGTGAATTTACGTGTATGTACCGTGCACAGAAAAAGAGCCAGTCTTTCTCTTCTCTTAACATCTGATTCACTGCCGACATCACAGGTGTTTATCATCACCTGGGCAGATGTGGGCAGGACGGTGGGGTGTGCTCTGTCATGGAAACAGTGGAGCCTCGTTGCATCACCGGGGTTTCTATGGCTATAAATGGACTTCTGTAAGCCTGCTCGATCTCTTTTTGGATCTGCTTGTAGCTCTGTCACCTTTGGATGTTTGGTGGTTTTGTGAACTCACCGTGAGTGGACCTGGGTAAATTAGCATGTGGCTACCATAACTGTGAACACAACTGCTCTTGTGTTCTCAGATTCAGCGTGACAAAGGACGACACACTGTATCAGAAATCACTACCGGGTGCATGCAAATGCTGTCCATGTATCTGTCTGTCCTTCTGTGAATCATGACGCAGCAGAGTATTTTGCACTTGGTAGGAACTTAATGAATATTTATTCAAATCAATCGGAGAATGAATGCAGGTCCACAAAGCAAAGATTCTGTAAGGTGTTGAATATCACATGTTATTTGTATGCATTTACAGGAAGAAAAAAAACCGTGCCACAAACATGAACCTTTGTGTCCTTTAAATTGCTGGTATTTCAGACTGATTGTCTACAATATTGAATATCCAGATAACTACAAATCGTTACTACCTGTGTGCTGGTGGAACATTCAGTGAAGACTAGATGCTGACAGCAGTGGAGAATTAAGATTCCTCAAATCAACGGGGCTATGAGGCACTAGAAAGAGACAAAAGATGATGAAAATTGAACATAAAAAAGGAGACTCAGTAGTAGAATGCCTTAGCATTTGTTTTGACTACTGTGAAGATAGGTTTTGGTTGGTGACAGGTGTCTTAAAAGGGAGCTTGAAGTCAAGCAGAGAAATGGCTTCTCAAATCAGTAGTGGGATTGGTTCCCAAATTATGATACTTGAGAGAATGGCAAAGAATCTCCATTGAAAATAGAATGAAGATTAATCATCAATGGAATCCAGACTTTCTGGAGCCGTTGAGGCTACGCAAATCCCCAAAACTATTGCCCTGAGATAATCTTTAAACTTTAAACCTTAAACCCAAACTATCGTATAAACCAGAAAATAGCTTATCTAATTATTAAAGTACATGTGCTTTGATAACTGTGCACTTTTAAAGAAATGTCTATGTGAGATCAAATTGACAATGGTAACACAAGAGTGGATTGGAAGCTTAGGGGGCAGTGAGTTTAAGATAATGATGGTGGGATAGTTTGGAAGAGGATAGTGAGGATGGCAGCACAGCTTGAAGAATATAATCAGTGTCACTGAATTGTACATGTAGAAATTGTTGAAATGGTGAATCTTTGGCTGTATGTACTTTCACCAAAATAAAATGAATTTTTTTAAGGTACTTAAATAGAATGGATCTAGTGGAATAAAGGAAATTATGGCCCAGTTCAGATGTAGTCTAATCTCAAATAGGAAAATATGCCCCCCTGAGAAATGTCTGGTACAGGGCAGTGAGAATCCCATTGATGTGTGTGTCTAATGGAAGTGGCTTTTCCAAACCTGACAAGTGAATCAGATGGGTAGGGTCTGATTAAGTGAATGAGCAGAAAGACACTGTGGGATTATATGGAACACGCAATTGTAGGCCATTGGGAAAAGTCACTTTTCCCTACTCTATTCCATTTTAAAATCTGCCTGTATCCAACGATATTGGCTCACTCCACCATCTTTATCGATGGGCAGTTACTCTCCATTCTTAATATAATTTCCTTTTATCCCCTCTTCTGTTCAGGTAGAAAGTAAATCAACAGAAAACATATACAATTATGGTCTTTAATTAGTTCTGGATTTCAATATTGTCAGCGAGTTGCTGATACTGTAATAAAAATAACTCAAGAAAGTAACTTTGTGACTTATAATAACTGTCTTCAGAAAAATCTGTCAGATTTGCCCTATTTTTGCTGTTTTAATAAACTTGTGTGAGCGATTGCTGTTCCCTGGTGTACTGGATAAAATAATCAACTCTTTTTGAAAACTCTCACGTTCATTTTTCTCTTTCTTTTTTCTTCCAATCCTGGACCAATATTTATCTTGAAAATGCAAAGGCTACTTTGGCCCTAGGTAGACTTGAGAAGCTGTTTGTTTGCCATTTCTGCCGCAGGATCTGGACAATTTTGATGACATTTGATAAATATTCTCCTCCACAATCCTGAGGCCAACTTTGCTCCTCATAGCTCTTAGGTTTACTGAAGAGAATATGACTATTTAACTTCCAGCAAGATCCCTAGACCAGTGAGCGCTACTGTGCATCTCTCTGTCTAAAGCATGTCACTGTAGGCTTTTCCTAGTAATTATGTAACACTGATTCCTCCCTGTGATATGTAACGTTAATTCCTCTTGCTAATACAGTAACCTTGCTAAAAGAATATATCATAGGGTGCAACCATTCCGTCTTAAGTAAGAGTAAAGACACAGATGTCTTTATTTAAATACAAACATCAGAGTAAGCTTTCATAAAGAAGGTCTATGAGAGGAAGATCCTAAAAATCAAATCAGAAAGACAGCAATGCATTCATTTTGTCTTTACTTCATGGGGATAGATACTTACACAACTCCATAGTAAGCTCTTATCCCCTCCCTGGAGGTGCCATCACATTTCAGAAAAGTATTTGTCATCTGCTCTGAAATTCAAGTTATGTGTTTACATCAGATGCTGGATACCCGTGATTGAATTCTTGCCGTCAAACATTATTAACAAAAAAACCCAACAGAAAGAATTTCAAAATGCTCTTATCAGATGTTGACACCAACAGTGACAAAAATCTCTAAGTCTGCACGAGGGAAAACAGTTCTGAGTATTGCTTCTGTTTGAAAGACACTTCAGTGTTTCTCTCTGGAATACTTCTCTTATGGACTTGTATTTGCCAAGTAAGATAAGTTACACAAGATGCAGTGTTTCCTGTTTTAATCTCTGTTCTGTAACATTCTTTGGAGGAAAGCAGATACTAGATAATGATGCTAGCCAGACTTTGCTATTCTCCTAAATTTAAGTGAATACAAAAAAAAAAAAAAAATTCATATTCATACTAGGAGGTAAGCCGTTATCCTACTTCATATTATTTGGCATTAGTTTATTTTTGGTTTAGTTTATTATTTGACTCAGTCCAAATTAACGAAAATATTGCCTCTCAATTTTTTAATAATGATTTAACTAGTGTATATCCCTAAGTCCTCAGAAATCCAGATCTAATACTAACACAGACAAGAACCGTACTTGTTTTACCATTCTCGTCTATGTCACTGTTCGGGTTGGAGAAAATAGTCTCCCCCTGTGAATGTCCACACTGTATGATAATAGAAGAGTAACTCGAACCCTTAAAATTGTTTAGAAAAATGAACCAAAATCTCAATGTATAGGCAATTAACATCTGCAGTATATCGGCCATTAGTATAGACTTTCTTCCTCTGAAGTGAGCTTTTATCTTAACTAATCACAGATTCTATTTTTGATTCCATTTGTGAGTGAGCATTGGACATGAGAGAATGCATATCCGATTGGCCAGCATGAGATACCTTTGGTAAGTCTGAGAAGAAATCATTGAAAATGGAGGCTCTAAATAATTAGCTAGAGCCTGGTCGAGCAGTGGTTAAGCGCTGGGCTGCTAACCGAAAGGTTGGCAGTTTCAAACCCACCCAGCGTCTCCACCGGAGAAAGACCGGGTGATCCTCGTAAAGATTATAGCCTAGAAAACCCTATTCTGTCACATAGGGTCACTATGCGTCAAAATCAACTCGACAGCACAGAACAACGGTATGGAAAATACTGGTATTGGTTGGGGGGTTAGAAGGTATGCGGTTTGCCTGAGCTATTTATTAACTGGCTGTTCATCATTTATATATGTATCCTGGGAGTGAGGGTATTCAGAATCATTCTTACTTCATTATCTATGAATATTTATAATTTGCACAGTATGAAAATGTAAAAGTTTAGATGAACATCTCGATCGTTCCGTCTGGAGGCCTCTTTCAAGCATCCTCTAAGCACTGTGGGTTAGTCCGTGTTCTTTGACTTCGTGGAGCCACAGTTTCCACAACAAGCAGCAGTCAGGAATGCACTGCGTATTTCTCTTTAGCAGTAACTAGATGTACATATCAGGGCGCAGTGGTGGGTCAGTGGTAGAAGTCTCATCTTCATTCAGGAGATCGGGCTCGATTCCAGCAGTGTACCTCATGTGCAGCCACCTCCCGACGGTCGGTGGAGGCTTGCCTGTTACTATGATACGAACAGGTTTCAGTGGAACTTCCAGATTAAGACTAGGAAGAAAGGCCTGGCGATGCACTTCTTAAAATCAGCCAATGCAGATAAATCCCATGGACCGCAATGGTCTGATCTATAGTTGATCATGGGGATGGCGCTGGCCTGGGCAGCATTTCGTTCCACTGCGCTTGGGGTTGCCATGAGTTGGGGCTGATTCGTCGGCAGCTAACAAGAAGTTATCTAAATGTCACCATGATTATCGTTGAAAAGCAAATATTCAGTGGGAGATACCTTTAAAGCACCTCATCTTAAAGCTGGATATAAGCCCCTATGGTTGAACGTTCACTTACTGGGGGTACATTCTACATTAATGTCACATTGTTGGTGCCTTGGTGGGCCCACGTTTTCTAATCTGATTCCCCAGTGCCTTATTCATCTTTCCCCTGTATTTTCTCAGATCCATACTGACGGCTGTTACTTGGTGTTTCCCACAGGCTGTGCAGTGGGAGTGCGATGAAGCTACCAGGAAGGCCTGCTACAGCAAGGGCAAGTCCAAGGTAAGCGGGCTGTATGGAAAGTGTCGTGATAGGTAAGTTCCTCCGGGTTGTGGTGTCGGGTATGGTGAAAAAAAGAAAGATTCAGAATGTTCTGCACAGTCAATTCTCAAGTGCTTAACCGTAAAATTAACCACCACAACCAGTCAGTTTCCGAGAAGGCTTCAGACCATGAGAAAGTCAGATCCAGTTTGTGCTTTTGTTTACTAGACGAAGACATGATATCAGTTGGATATGATCTCCTTTGGAAAGAAAAGGGCCTGAGTTTTAAAAATAGTATATTTATTTCCCCCAATGATACCCCTTAGCTAACTTCATAAAGTACTTCTATGATAAATAAAATTATTGTATCAGAAAATTATCTGAGATTTTTTCTTGTCAGTTTACCCTCATTTATCTTGTATAGTAAGTTCTCGCACTCCTTTCATGCTAAATTCTCCATGCCGGAGTTTCCAAGGAAAGGACCGTTTTAGCAAAGATTGGAGATGCGTGTCTCGAACCTGTTTTCCTGAAGTGTTATACGATTGGCTGGTTCGATGAGAGGCTTCATTCGTTGCCTTCCGAGGAAGAGGGGAGCTTACACTTGATCACATTGGGGACATTCTGCTGCAGCCGATCGGTTGCCCCATCAGTGTCTCATTCCGTTAGTGACCTTGGGTTGTTAGAGCTTGCACCTTTCCGATGGTGAGCTACACCGCGGGCTGCAGAAGTAAGAGCGCACACGAAGACAAGCAGAGAGGTCTCCCGATCCAGAGCCAGCAGCAGCCCGTCCCCTCGGGCGGGTAGCCGAGCGCAGTCCCAGGCCCCACCCGGACCCACGGAATCACAACTTGCATTCACACCATCCCCAGGAGACCTGTAAACTCACTGAAATCTGAAGAGCGCCATCACATGAACACTACCCAGAAAACCTAGTTCCGAATGCGCATGCAGGAATATTAAAGAACAGCTGCATTACAGTGAAGATTTATACAGTATATTGTGATATAATAATAAAATCGTAACAATGACAGTGATGGTGATATCGTTGTTAGGTGCCGTCAAGTCAGTTCCGACTCACAGCGACCCCGTGTACAACAGAACGAAACACTGCCCGGTCCTGCGCCCTCCTCACAGTCATTGTTATGCCTGAGCCCATTGTTGCAGCCACTGTGTCAATCCATCTCTTTGAGCGTCTTCCTCTTCTTTGCTGACCCTCTACCTTACCAAGCATGATGTCCTTCTCCAGGGAATGGTCCCTCCTGATAACACGTCCAAAGTATGTGAGATGGAGTCTCGCCCTGTCTGCAAATGCCCGATCTGTAGCTGATCATGACGATGGCACAGGACCGGGCAGGGTTTTGTTCTGTTGCGCACAGGATCGCCATGAGTCAGGGGCCGAGTCTGTGGCAGCCAACAAGCACAGACTACTCCTGAGATAGAATTTGGTGCATGTAGCAGAGCTGTGTGAGCAGGGAGTTCTGTGCACAGAGTGCTGTGATGCGTTTACGTGGCATTCCAGGCAGGGCTGGTCCATGGCTGCAGAGGGACACCGAGGGCTCTGTGCCCTCCGCCCCTCGTTCCTTCTCTTCATTCGGCATCTCAGCTGCTTTCTTAAAATGGCAACTGTTGTGGTTTGAATTGTGTCCTTCAAAAGATGTCCCAAAGTCCTGGCTCCTATAACTGTGCACATGGCCAAGTGCGGAAATAAGGTTTACTTTGGTTCTGCTGATGAGATCAGACCGGAATAGGGTGGATCCTAAACCTACCCCCCCTTCTGAGTGGTGTCCTACAAACGGGAACAGACAGACACAGACAGGGGCAGACGCCATGTGGGGAACCATCTCAAGCCAAGGGACGCCAAGAAGCACTCGGCTACTGACAGGGAAGGACCCTCTCCTAGAGCTGATGCCCTGATTCAGACTTCTAGCCTCCCAAACTGAGACAATAAATGTCTGTTCTTGAAAGCTGCCCACCTGCTGGTATTCTGTTACCTGGCAGCACCAAGAGACTAAGACAGTAACCGACACAGTAACCATGAGGTGGGGGACCAGCTGACCCAAGGAAGGTAATATGGCAGCCCTCATTGGAAAGAGGAGCGAGGCTACCTCTCCCCAACCCTCTACCCTCTGCCCAACTCAGAATTCACGTGACAACTCCCATCTCACTGAAACTTCCCAGGGACCAAATCAGATAACCCTTCAGAGAGTCAGGTTGACGAAAATATTGCTGATATTGTTGGTTGCCTTGAGTCGGCCCTCACTCCTGATGATCCTGTGTATAACAGAACAAAATGTTGCCTGGTCCTACACCATCCTCACGATCACTTCCATGTTCAAGCCCACCATTACAGCTACTGTGTCCATTCATCTCACTGGGGGTCTTCCTCTTTCTTGTTGACCCTCTGCTTTACTAACCATGCTGTCCTTTTCTCGTGATTGCCCTTTCCTGACGACGTGCCCAAAGTAAGTGAGCCGAAGTCTCCCCATCCTCACTTCTCAAGAGCACTCTGGCTGTACTTCTTCCAAGAGTGACTTGTTCGCCCTCACTTCTAAGGAGCATTCTGGCTGTACTTCTTCCAAGAGTGACTTGTTCGTTCTTCCGGCAGTCCATGGTA